CCCGCCCCCTCCTCCTTCTCTCTTCCCTCTGCTTAGACGAAATGGCAGAACCCATTTCTATGACTTTGACCTTCTTTAGAAAATTCATGCTTAATCCCCATATCATAAGCAATTGTTCTAGCTTCAATCATAGCTGATGCAAACTCATTTTCTCTATAATTCTTAATAAAAGAAATGAGCCCCTTCAACTCTTTTATGGCAGCATCAATGCACGTATCTTTAGATTGTAACTCTTGGCTGATTAAGTTAAATTTCAACAAAAAATATCATGCCAAATAACCATGCCTATTAAAAAATCAAAATTTTCAAGTTCATGTGTTGTGAAACTTTCAGCTTCACCTTTTGTTTTAGCATCTTCACTGATTTATGCTACTTTAAGTTCATGGATTTTTCAAATACTCATTTTCTCAAGATAATTTTTGGGGGCTTTTATTCCTTACACCTCAAATAATAAAACATGATTTTATAGGATTTTAATATCAATAGTAAATGCAGTATAAACGGTTACCTTCTGAATGACCACCTTCTACAACCATATCATATATTTCAAACAGGCTTTTTGCTTGATTTCAAAGATGAGGAAAAACATATATCAATGAATCAATATAACCAAGCTTTTCCAAAATCAGCAGCTGCACTCTTGGCTTAATTCAGATTTCCAAATCAGAATTCAAAATGCAAATAAAGTTTTTCCAAATCCAACAGCTGTTATATCTGTAAAAATGGGCAGATTCCTTTTATGCACTATAAATACTAGCCTCTCCGCACGCGCTTCCACGCCTGCGAGAGGCTTTTTTAAAAAATATTTAAAATTTATTTTAGAATTAAAAAAGATAATGGGTAGTTGTTTTCCATAAAAATAGGATCGATTATCCGATTTTTCTATTAATTTTAATTGTTTTAAATATGAAAAAGTGTGAATTTACCATATTATCCTCATTTAATTAATAATTTCACTTCTTAATGTTTGCATTAACTAAGGGCATTTTCTGGTATTTTGAATGTTTCACCATTCTTTTCCTTTTGCTTTATATATACTAGCCTCTCAGCACGCGCTTTCACGCCTGCGAGAGGCTTTTTTAAGAATTTTTTAAATTTATTTTAGAATTAAAAAAGAGAATGGATAGTTGTGTTCCATAAAAATAAGATCCATTATCTAATTTTTCTTTTAATTTTAATTTTTTTAAATATGAAAAAGTGTGAATTCACCATATTATCCTCATTTAATTAATAATTTTAATTCTTAATATTTGCATTAACCAAGGGCATTTTCAGGTATTTTGAATATTTCACCATTCTCTGCCTTTTGCTTTATATATATAGATAGAAGATAATCGACAGTTATTATCGGGAGAACTTCATTTATATTCTCCATTGTTATTGAATTGCATTAGTCCTATTTGCCCCCCTCTAGGGTTGATTCCTTGGGCGACAGATGGTAGGATTATGCCCAATAATTCTGTTAGGCCATGTAATAAGATATTTCAACTAATCCAGCATCTTACTCATGTGTAATACCAAACACATAATCTTTTCGACCGCCAAAAAATACACTACAATAAGATAAAAATCATTCTGATTGGCACAATTTCGCTTTCTAAGTAACTTCACATTAGTTAGTTTGTAACAATATACACCACATCAATTAAATTTTTGTTGTAAATAAAATCTAAACCATCACAAACCCCAAACCATCAAAGGCAAAAGACATATTCAGGCAGTCGAGTATAACATGTCACATCTCAGAGTTTATACTTCATATTAAGTAGCTGTCTGAAAATCCCCAAAGTCATCATCTGGTATATCTTGAGTGATTTCATTTCCAGAAGAAATTGATTCTTTTGAATCATCTTCTGTTGATTCTGAGGCTTTGTGGTTAGAATCCCCCTGAAGATTGAGATTTGGGGGAAAGTTTGTGGGAGACTTCTGACCAGTAGACGGTGAAAGTGGTCCTGGGGGAGGTGGTGGTGGTTTGATACAAATCAAGGGCTCTTTTTGGTTGGCCTTTTTCTCTGGTGAGTTGTTCTCAGAAACCTTGGACTTGACAATTTCAGCGCTTTTCTGTTGACAGCAACAAGAGATTAAATTCAATCATAGTACTCCAGTAAGTAGCATGGGTCAGAGGACACAGTTGACAAGAAAATGAAGATACACTAACGTTCTTTAATTGTAGTACAAGAGTCTCCCCCTCTTTTAAGCTGTAATCAACCAAGGAAGTTTGCTGAAATTTTTGCTCCATCTCTTCTGCAGTTTTCTTTTTGTCCAGATATCTTCAAAACAATTTAGAAAGGTACATGAGCTTGAATGATGGAAATTCATCCTCTAATGCATATGCATTTAAAATCACCTAACAAACTTCTAAAATGTTGTAGAGAAAATGAAGAATGGGCAAAATTGTAATCACTGTACATATGGGACATACTTCATGTGATCATGCAAGGCTGCTTGGAAATCATACGCTTCTGTTCTTTCTCGAAATCCTATGCCAATGAAAGCATGCCGAAGCCGACCATCTGCATAAATTTCAAAGTAATGAGAAATAATACATGGACAAATAACTGGAAATAAAAATTAACTGAAAAGGCAAAAATTGCATCAGAGTCAGGCACAAAATTTTGGGAAAGCGGGAATACTAAAAGGTTATACAAGAGGTAAAATAAAACGAAGCAAAAGAAGTGGCATAATCCTTCTATGGAAAAGAGTCAGTCTTCTGTCTATGGTTTTCTGACATATCACCACATGGTGGTAGCACAACTCAAGCAATAAATATGATCCCCTGTCTAACAGAAATAAATACATTCCTGTATATGCTGCCCAACTGAGAAAATGTCTTCGTCTAATTTAAAAAGTTGAGCTGCAATATGATGTGCCCTTCCAGTAAATGAATCGAGATTTGCATAGGCCTCTTTCGTTCTACATCACATATGTATCTAATCACCCACTATCCCAGCCTAGTATAGGCATCCCAGTTCCTACCCTTGAGAAATGATTTACAGAAGTGGGGAAATTGTATATCACAGTGATATTAATACAGTGATCTGCAAATGCTTTCTACATTCTTGTAAAAATACTTCTTCCGTCCTTATTTCAAGGTAGACTGTTCTTCATCTAAAATAGTCTGGTCTACTCTTGTCCAAACCACTATGGACAGATGGAAAGCTTGTGAGTATTAGCCCTCTCCCACTACTAGGAATATATTTGAAAGTTTTTAAGTTGTGTAAGCATAGTTCCTCATGTTTAGAATGGATATGCATATATTAATGCGCACAAGTTTTGGTATACTCTGCTGTCGTAACAACCTCTCTGTGGTGTCTCTAGATCTACAACATTTCTTCTCAAAATATCATCAATAGGGAGGACCTAACTAAGGCCAAGTGTGGGTGTCCGCCCCCCAAAAAAGAATGTTTTTAAGCTTAAGGTACTTGATCTCTACTTCTAAGTGGGCTAATAATGGTATTGACTGATAATCTAAGCCTCCACACAGTTCCATTTAGCCTACTAAGAACCTACCAAGCCCCCACATGCACTAAATCTTGGGTGTGTCAAAGGTGGACATGGGGAAAGATCTGTCTTAGGAGTCAATAATGCCTCTGAATCGTTCCAACAATAGTCTAATAGGATTCCCTAAACAAGAGATCTTAAACCAATGAAGCAAGTATAGCAGCTCACCAATGTTCTCCTCTACACGTAGCACAAAATATCTGCAGAACAAAAAACATTATTTAGACACTCTCTAGGTACAAATCAAAATGCATAAATTGAAACTTAAATAAGATTCTGCAGTCCAATAAAAATGGGCTCCAGTTTAACTAGAAATAGGATAAACCTGCTGCTATCAATTACAGGTTCCACTGGATGAGGCTCCCCCTTTCTCAAAAAAGCCCGAGCATATAGTTCACCTGTAAGAATATATCATATTACAGTAGAAGAAACAAAATGTCTCATACTACAAAAGGAAGAAATACAACTTCATCTAATAATAACTAAAATATCCTCACTGGTGTTCTTATCTTCAAGTCTGATAATGCACTCTTCTCCTTTGCTGATTACTTTCAATATCCCTTCCCATACCCATTTGTTTACATCCCATTCATCAGCCCTGAAATAAACTTCAGACACTTCAAACTCAACTCCAACACATGCAATGAAGAGTTCCAGCAGTTATCAATTCCAATAGAAGAGTATTCTTCTTCTTGTTTGTTCATTCTATGATTAAAAAGCATCCAATCTCAGGATTAATAAAACTCATCTCCATTTGTTTGTCTATTTTTGGATCTTTTGATTTGTTGCCAATCCAACTCCATCTCAGAAAACTTATCAACAAAATAGGTTTTAAAAGCTCACACAATCTAGCCTAACTGTAAGCTTCATTTCGAGGTAATTGATCGATGTGTGGAACAGAAGCATCAAAGTTACAAATAAATCAGATTAATCACAAATAAACTGCTAAATGCATATCACATTTTCTATTTTTATGAGTTGAGCATAACCTGTATGAAGCTGCACTTTTCCTCGGTGGTATCTGCACAAACAATATAATAGCTTAGCTTGATATCACAAATAACTTCAAGAACCCTACATAACAGTAACCATACGTTTCTCTCATTGTCGATTTCTTATAACTACTTGCTCAATTGTAATTTAAAACCCATGACTTTGTACAACTTGATAGATCCCAACAAGCACCAATAAATTACTAAATGGTAAAGGATCTCACCATCAACTTGTTTTAGCAAAAAATTTAAATATTTACACCATTAACCTATGTTTACACTCCAACAAGTTCATTTAACTATAACATCAATAATCAAATTAACCAAAACAACAAAGAAAAAAATGCCAATCTATTCAGCCATTAATCTAACTTACACGATAAAAAAATTCATTCAACTATTACATGCATCAACAATCATGAAGAAATCTAGTTGAATTATGCATTTTCCATTGCATTCCCAAGATACCCTTCAACAGAATCACTACAAAAATTCATGAAAACACAGGGATTCGGGCACATCAGGTATTGTATATCAAAATGAACTATACCAAGTAGACATAGCATTCAGGCACTTGAAAGAGAACAAGCTCTAGAGCTTCAGCTTCGTTCTCTTCTTGATCATTTGGCGCCGCCTGTTCCTTTTGCATTTTACAGTGAAAAGATAGAGAGACCCAGATTGGGATCAGAACGAGTGACCAAATGCGAATCTGAAACTGGTTTTCTGATTGGAATTTGGTAAATTAATTTGGGTTTTATTTAGACTTTCAAGATTTATGTCTAGGAGGAGGTTTCTAGTCTCTCTCAGTTTCCTTCCTCTGTAAAGAGACGATCGCAGAGCTCTTTATCAGTTTCCTGGTCAGTAATTAGCATAACCAGCGAGAACCGTTGGATTAGATTACTTTTCTAATCTAAGGCTTTGTGACTGTTTGCTGATTTAAACAAAAATGGGATTTATGGACAGTGGTGATCGATGGAAAGGTCTATTATTGTATGCGATCGGGTGGAGTCAACGAATTTGATTTGGTTCGTAGAGGTTGCTTGCATTTGTGGGAAACACCGAAAAAGGTAATTTCATTGCAAGGAATATGCTTTAGAATGGTTGTAAGAGCATCTCCACGAGTCTCCATAAATTTGGCTAAAATAGCTAGAAAGCCATTATAGCAAACCACTTAAAAGGTATTTCCACCACCAATGTTCTCTATTTTGGCTAATTTGAAATATTTTATTATTATTATTTTTTCTTTCTCTTTCTCCTTCTCCCTCTTTCTCCTGCAAATCAAATATATTTATATAAAAAAAGTAGAAACCCAACCCCACCAACCTTTTAAATGTCTCTATCTCTCTCTCCCTTTTTCTCTCTCCTCCTAGCCAAATTCTCTCTCCTCCTCTCTACATGTAGAGAGCCAAAAGTTGGTTCTCCAAAATAGAGAGCCAAGTAGGGAGTTTGGTGGAGGAGAATTTTCCTTCTTTTTAGCCAAAGTAACTAAGGATGAGAGAATAAAGAGTCTGATCGAGATGCTCTAAGGGGTAGTAATTTCCGACACGACCCGGTACATGACTCGAAACTTGCATGGAAAATTAGTGTGTCAATCCGCAAGATTAAATTTTTGGGTTATTTTCAAGTCAACCCGCCACTGATTGGTTAATAAACGAGTGAGTTTTGAGTCAACCCCTCAACCCACTAAAATACCTATTTAATCACTATTTTATATAAATAAATAAAAATTCAATTACTTGATGAAATGATCAAAATTCATGTTTTTATTTATTTTTTATTTGCTATCAATTAGCAAGTGATCTCGACACAACCTGAAATCAACACGAGAAATTAGTGGCAACCCTTATACGACGCGTTGATTAAACAAGTCAGGTTTGGGTTGAGTATTCTTGACACGTATATAATCCTGACAAAACACGAATCCGACACGACACGACCCATTGTCAGCCCTTTGGGAAGAGAATAATAAACCAATTCTAGAGCAAAAGGGATACAATAATTTCACCTTTAAAATTTGTACCTTCAAAAAACAAAATGATGGTGAAAAGTGTAAGGGTTTACGATTCAAGTGAAAGATGATGGCATATGATATGGCCCGAGTGGATTGTCCACTTAAAATCCGCCATGTGGATGGCCTCGATAGCAAAGATCTCGATATTTGGTCCTACAAGACCCGACCATCCTCACAAAAACCTGACCAGACCAATTTGCCATACCATTGTCTACGACCAATCGTGGTCAGGTCGGACAGGCTTACCCAACCTAGGCACTAGGGGCAAAATCAGCATGAGCTTCTTCCCCGTGTGGTTTGACTAACCAAACTATGAGTAATTGGGACATAGATAGTTACATGCCGCAACTCTAAACCAACCTGCTTGGACAATTTTCACCACATGGCTAAAGCATGCATTAATTGCATTTCCAATCCCCACCAGTTTGTTCCCCTTTGGTTGTTCCCCTACAATTAGCACACCAGGGCATGTTGTTTAAGCACCCCCCCCCCCCTTTAGGGTACACTAGTGCATCTTAGGTGACTAAGTTTTCTCTGTGTGAAAAAACCACTTTTATAGTGGAAAGAAGGCATGGTGCTTCATATCGACCACGTAGAAGCTTCAACTTTGGCCTGGTCGAAGTCCTAAATTGACTATTCAAAATAACTCGTCAACATAAGCGATCAATGTCCTTATTTTCAAGGCCACAACATAGTTCTCCCTCCTCATTTTCACTTTTTTTTGTAACTTTTTAAAAGAATGTTAATTAAAAAAAGTCAATTACAAAACTATACTTGAGGGTAGGGCGCAATGCATTTTGGTTTAGTTTGATTATCATATCGCGCGCCGCACTAATGAAATATCATGATTCTAATTAGTTCAATTTATATCTAATCCTGAAATATGATGAAATTCCCCTCATATATCCGTATATGAAGGAAGTTGAGGTTCCACCCTAAGGATGGAGGGAGTAGTCCAATTCCTTATACTCCCAAGTTAGATTACTTAATTTTTCAATGTTGGACAAACACTTTCAACATGAAATTGGTATCATTTTTACTAATACATTCTAATTATAAAGTATGGTAAACAAAGCAAACTATGCAGAGAGATGGAGAGAAAATGAAGAAGCTTAACTGTGATTTCTGAAAATCTGTGCATAAAAGGAATTACAACCATATTTGAGTTTTTATACTAAAACTTAGCCTACGAACAGAATCAGTTGTATGTGTTTGATGTACTTTGAAGTTTTATATTAGGTTTGGCATATGGATGTTGGTCAAGGATGTTACCATAACAACAATCAGTTATAAACTAATTATATAACTACGAATGCAAGCATGCTCTAGCTCTTGTATGCCAGTGTCACAACCCAACTTCACTAGCAAGATATTATTCGCTTAAGGCCCCGCCCACACAAATTTGGTCTTGGGCTCAAGCTTATGCTTTCTTTCCCAAAAGGCATCTAGCTAGGAAGTGCCCACACATATAAGGCACTTCACCTTTTCCTCCCCTAGCAATGTGAGATTACTCACCGATCTTGTCCATTCTTGCCTTGCATCATTCGTGGCTCATAGGTCTTACAATCCACCCATTGGGGCCATCGTGCATATTCAGTTTCTATCTCCTAGTTGCACAAAACCTTCCCTTTTTTCCTTCAGCTTATTGAATAGGTGTTTTTACTTAGGCTTTTTGATTCTTCTCTTCGATAGGAAGTGCGGCAAAAGCAAGAATCACCTATCCTAGGTGTGGCTAACCTAGTAAAGCACGGTTAAGGTGATGTGGCATCTCCCGTGATGACTTGGATGCAATTTTGATGACTTGGTGTGATGATGTGGCATCTTGAGTTGCATGTTAATTGTGTGGCACGTTGACTTCTCATTTTCTTTATCTAGGCATGTTCATAATTCTTATAGATTTCACCATCGCTTCGTTAACATTCCGCTCCCTGGTTTTCGAATTTCACCATTGGTTTCCTAGTTTGATCAGGAAAACTCCATTTTTCTCAATTTTCACCAATTTGCTTGACTTAACCTACACATTCACAAAACAAGATTGAACAGCTCAGATAGTAGAGAACTAGACTCAAAAACTAAGAAACGAGAGACTAAAAACTCGTAAAATATGGACTTATCGATTTTGCATTGTTTTTATATATTTTTACTATCTAACCCTTCTTTCATTGTTTGGTTATTGTTTTCACACCCTTAATAAAGCTACACAACTATAATTGAGTTAGCCACAACTAGGTATCAAACTCATCATAAATATATATCACCTTGCAATGTGTTAGCAAGATCCTAGTTTAATTAGGAGATTTATTTCCTAGTCTATTAGGACTCTATCTCTTTCCTTTTTGTACAGATATTATGTAATTAGGATTTTATCTTATTTCCTAGTTTAACCCTATTAGGGTTACATCCTTGTATTATAAATACCTCAATTTGGAGAATGAAATATAATATGAAAATATTATACCCATATTATTTGACTTGGCATCAGAGCCTACTTTCTGGTGACCTGTGTTTTGTGCCCACTCGTGTTCTACTGTGTGCCCTAATTTCTCTTTTAGGGTTCTCTTCTGCCCGTGCATGTGCCGTGTTTGTCGTATTTGCTTCGTGTTGTGTTTCCGCTGTTATCATGGGTGATCATTCCAAGGTTATGGTGTGTTCTAGTGCTTCTGACACGAAGGAGGATCATCCTTCACGTGATTACTATGCTCCTATTACTTTTTACAAATTGGATGGCTCCAATTATGCCTTTTGGTATCGTGGTGAACGACCGACCAACCACGGTGCATCGGGTTGTCAACAAAAAATACTTGTTTGACTTGAGAAGCCAAAATAAATTGGTCATTCCTATGTCCAATTTTACTCAAATTTACAAGGACGCTGATAACACTACCGACCAACCATGATGCATCGGGTCGTCAATAAAAAATACTTGTTTGACTTGAGAAGCCAAAACAAATTTGTCATTCCTATGTCCAATTTTACTCAAATCTACAAGGGTAAATCCAAGTTCGTTGACTACAAGGCCATAAGTACTATCTATCCAATCACACATAAAGACTGGGATTGTTAACTTTTGGTAGTCAATGTCCCAAATTTCTTGAATGACACCATAAAAACCCATATTTGAGAGAATTGGGTTTTTATCCTTGGCACTAGCAACTTGCATGGTATGTGCAAGTAAATAAACTCCACTATTTTGAACTGTCCGCACATCATCTTGTGCCTTGATGTTAAATTTAACACCTTGAATAAGATAGCTCCTATATTATGGCACTGCCATGTTTGGACCAGCTGCTAGCTACCTTAAATTTTCTGATACCCCATGATTGCCTCCCTCATCAAGTTCACTTTGAACCTGCAAATTAATCATATCTTAATTCAATCTAACATAGAAAGAAGAAAATTAAAAGTCAAATATGTTATTGAATAACATATACCTTGAAGCGTAGCCATTGAATGAAAGTGTTATTGTGCTTATCTTGCGGCCACTTTGTTCTCTTTCTAAATTTTGGATAAGCGGTCTTGATGTGGATCATATGTTCCCTACATGACACGAAAAATTCAAGCATTACGGTCCCAAACATATAAGATAAACATAAGGAATAATTTAAAATGGAAACTTAAAGAATAAAACTCATACTCGATATAAGGTAGGACTTTCTCCGTATTCTCCAAGACATATAGATGTGCTTGGTTCAACAGGTCCCGATCAACTAAGCTCACTGTGCAACCTGATAATAGCTTTGAAACTCCTATCTTCTGATTTGATGGCACTCCAATTGTACTAATATCAGATAAATGTTCGGTGAAAAATTCTACAGCTTC